TTATTAATTGTGAGTTATTTAATATAGAGGTAATTAACATAACATAACATCACGCCTTTTGTCCCTGAAGGCGTAGACAGAGGTGCACATTACAGCATACATCATGCTGTGCTCCGAACAGCGTTACCGTAGGTGTTTAACTAGTACGTACTACCTCAATAACGGGCTGGTGCTGAAAATCAGCGCCCTGGGCTCGAGCCTCTGTGCGCGGTCCACGGTATTAAGCTGAGCTCCAGCCTTTTGCGTTGCGACGCACTATAGGCTTTTTTTTTGTGTTCCTAAATTCTTGTTGTGTGTCGTAGCAAAATAAATGGTTTTTCTTTCTCTCTTTCTTTCACTTAATGCCACTGTACAATGTAACACCCACTTTTCACTATTTATGTTATGAGTCCCATGTAATATGGGGTGAGCTTATTTCCATATACCGGGCACAATTCCAATCTCCGTGCTACTACTGAGACTTTTTTTTAAAAACCCAGTAATACGCTGCCCGACCCGGGAATCGAACTCGATACCCCTTGCCCGGGAATCGCACTTGTGACCACTCGGTCAACGAGGCAATCTTTTAATATAATTCTTCTTCTTTTTTTATCATTATTATGGACATCTGGAACACCAAAGGCGTTACAAGTGCGTTACCGACCTTTTGGGGATTAGGAGTTTGAGGATCGTTGGGGATTGAGGGATTGGAGAGATTGGGGAAGGGGAGGGTAATTGGGCGTCCGGTAACCTCACTCGCACGACAAAATACAACGCAAGCGTTGCTTCACGTCGGTTTTCAGTGAGGCCGTGGTATTACTCCGGTCGAGCCGGCCCATTCGTGCCGAAGTATGGCTCACACTTGACTTGATTGAAAGTAATATAAGAATTTTGATTTCAGAAATGTTAAATGTGTCTTCATAACATGCTCACTGAAAAATAGTTGTACTATAAATATTATTTGATCTTTATTTTCAAGCTACTATTATTATTTGATGGCATCTTCGACACTCCCAGAGTCAACTTATCACCATCCTTAGATTATAATTAGATGTTTGTAAATATCATATCGAAAGTCTATATCTGTATGTAATACATACTACATAATTCGAATAGGGTCGAGATTACGACGTCTCCCTCGCATAGCCTCTTTAGCTCAGTGGTAGAGCACTGGTCTCGTAAACCAGGGGTCGTGAGTTCAATCCTCACAGGAGGCATAGCTATGTAGCAAAGTACTTTAATTTTGCTAATTTTTCGTGATTTGTTTAAGTTTAAAAATTGTATGTTTCATTGTTATTTAAGTCACTAATGATTGAATTTAGAGTAATTTGTTTTAATTTAAAGGTGATCTATACAACACAATGAAGGTTTTGTTTTACATACTTTTGTCGGTAATTATATTAATTAGGTATACAATTGAACTAATTACATAAAATAAATGAGGATAGACTTACCCTTGACATACCATTTTATTACCTTACTATCTTCTTTACTTGCTTTCATTTTTTTATTTTTCTAATAAATATTTAGGAAATGAGCTAAAACTAGGCCAAGGATTCGTTTATTCATTTTATAATAATTGAAAAACATGTTCTTAATGAAAAACATGTTTGTTATTTCATAACTAATAGCGATTTGAATGTATATTAATATTAATACAAATATAGATAACTACTCAGATAATTATTTTCTTTATGTAAGTTTTAGGGGATAAACCGGTAACCGAGCAGGGTGATCTCCTGATGGTATGCAATCGGCATCGCCCATGGACACTTGAAACACCAGAGGCGTTATAAGTGCGTTACTGGCCTTTTGGGATTAAGGATTTGAGCATTGTTGGGGATTTAAGTTTAGAATTTATATTCCAGGAACGTAATTCAGTAAATCTAGCACAACTGTATTTTTATTCAGTCTGAAAAAAAACATAATAATGTTATGCTATCTGAATTGAAATTCAATCATTGGATACTAACAATACTATCGAATATATTCTTTTAAGACCTTAACCCTTAACCCTTTAACCTTCTACATAACATCATAACATCACGCCTTTTATCCCCGAAGGGGTCGGCAGAGGTGCACATTACGGCACTTAATGCCACTGTACAATGTAACACCCACTTTCCACTATTTATGTTATCAATCTCATGTAATAGGGGGTAAGCCTATTGCCATATACCGGGCACAGTTCAATACGCTGTACTATTACTGACAATTAAAAAAAAACCAGTAATACTTTGCCCGACTCGGGAATCGAACCCGAGACCCCTTGCCCAGCATACGCACTTGCGACCACTTGGCCAACGAGGCAGTCTAGATCTAATCCTAACGTGCTTCTAAATAAGAAATATTTTCTTTAAATACAATGGTTAATGCAAATCTCGCCATGCATTGCAGTTTTGTTTCAGTGATGTCATTTTTATTAATTTTTAGTATAATCAATGTGTCAACGCTTATTGCATGGACAATAGTGTAATGAAATATTATTGGTTGACACTCCAGGTGATCGAAAGGCTGGCTACTACCTTTATCAAAGGTTAAGCATTGCCATCCAACGTGGCAACGCTGTCTTTTGGGCGCCTTCCTCACGACTGCGATGAGGATAATTTTTTCGACGCCGTAAGTTAGATATTTTTTTTCTTGTTATTTTTTATTTAATTTTCTCTATTATTTTTAGTGTATTTTCATAAATAAATGTACTTTTTTATATATTTTCTTTTTCGTAAAGGTAATATTTAACATGTATTCAATTAGATGACAATACAAATAAATAAATTATTAAAATGCTAATAGTATTACTGAAAACTATTGCTCGTTTAGGTCGAACTTTACTGAAACCTGCTGAAATATCTCTTTATACATTTATAGGGGACTGTAATTAATTCCAGTTTCCCGAAGCCTCTTTAGCTCAGTGGTAGAGCACTGGTCTTGTAAACCAGGGGTCGTGAGTTCAATCCTCACAAGAGGCAATTTACATTCTTACTTCCTAACTGATTTTCGTTAGTTAAGGATACTTTTTGGAATATTTTAATCAATTAGTTCACGTTTTTTGGTATATTTTGAGTTGGTTCATGAATCTTTGGCCTAAAACAAATATTTACTTTTTGTTTAGTGTAAATAATAAATTATTAAATAATAATTTACTGACTGGCTCATTAACCGAGTGCTCGCCAGTGCGACTGCCGGGTAAGGGGTCTCGAGTTCGATTCCCTGGTCGGGCAAAACACTATTGGTATAAAAAAATCAGTAGTAGCACGGAATCTGGAATTGTGCCCGGTATTTAAAAATAGGTTCACCCCCTTTTACACGGGACTCATAACATAAATAGTTAAAAGTGGGTATTACATTGTACAGTGGCATTAAGTGCCGTAATGTGCACCTTAGCCCACCCCTTCAGGGATAAAGAGCGTGATGTTATGTTATGTGTAAATAATAAACATGGGGAGCTGGAGAGAGGGTTAAGTACATAAATAGAATATATTTAACATGACACCACCCTTCCTCTTCCAGCGGGTGTTGGATGAATGTGGCCGAGCAGCTACTCATTTGACAGACACTAGGTGCAGCGCATGGATCTATTCCACTGTCGTCTCCAACCAACCTACCAGGTCTAGAGATTATAAGAAGAGGAGGCGTCTATATTCTAAAAGAATAACGAATGGAATTTCTTGCCGATATTCTCCACTCGAATCTACGTTTTGGAAAGCTAAGCTAAGTGCTTCACTGACGGACAGACTGACAGACTATTATTTATGTTATATTTGTTATCGTTTCAAAAGTACCAAATTATGGTTTAAATGAAATAAATGCTTTTGAGTTTGAGTTCAATTCAAAGAGGGCCCATAACCCTTAGTCTCTGCTTACCCCCATGGGAGACAGGCGTGAAGTTATGTATGTATGTATGTATGTATGTATGTATGTATGTATGTATGTATGTATGTAGGGCCCATAACAAAAAGCTGGCGAGAAATTTTAATGTTGTTGTGTTATTCTTATTATTACTTATTTATTTATTTATTGAAAGGCATGACATAATGTTAATAATAACGTAACTTACGATATTTTAAAAGTAAAATTTTCATCGTCAACAGCCTATAAATGCCCACTGCTAAGCAAAGCCTCTTCCCTCACGAAGGTTTGAGCATTAATCACCACGCTTGCTCTATACAGGTTGGCGATTACATACTTATAATTAGAAATCACTAGTGACCCGCCCCGGCTTCGCACGGGTGCAATATGCATGTATTATACATACAAACCCTCCTTAAGAATCACTCTATCTATTAAAAAAAACGCATCAAAATCCGTTGCGTAGTTTTAAAGATCTAAGAATACATACGGACATACAGCGAAAGCGACTTTGTTTTTACCCGACTGCCAAAGAAGGAGGGTAATGTTTTATACTATGTATTGATTGATAAGCCCAGGTTTCCTCACGATGTATTCCTTCACCGTTTGTCAGTGTTGTCTAGATAATCTTAGAAAGTACATATAACTTGGAAAAAGTCACATTGGTACTTGCCGTTGGTAGGTTTCGAAGCTGCACCCTCATGTATGAGAAGTAAGCATTTTAAACCTCCGTGCCACCACGACAGTAAATTTTAAATACATTTTTACCGGAACTGGTTACATGATTATGAATGTCATGGCGAGACGCGGAGTACCCGTAACTACAAAAAGAGATTGTCGAATCAAAAAAGAAATAAATAAAATGAAAGTTTACGTAAACTGAAGAGATTTCGTTCCGAATAGAAAAGAATCAGTTGAGATAAATAACGGAAAGTAATGTATCTACCCGTACCTATATCTATTTACATTAATCTTTTTTATTGTATTAAAATTATTGTACACTTTGTTATGTTAGATAACTTAAATGCAAGAAATATAACAATACATGTGAAAATATGATAGATAACACCATTGCATTATAAATATTTTTTTGAACTTAACTGACTGTGACGAACGGAATAAACGCAGTAAAAGAGTGCGATAATAGTAAAAAAAAACAAAAAAGAACTTACGTAAACTGTGACCACTATCGGCTCCCACGAAACTCGTCAAAAATACCACAAGCAATAATGAATGAAACATTTTTATTTTATTTTTTTTCTTATTGATTGTTTTATAATTATTTTTCACTTTCTGCAACACATTCGCGATTTCCAAACGAAAGTGACAGTTCACGCGCATGCGCGGTAGAGCAACTGAGGCGCGCGCGATCCACCCGCCATATTTATTTGCGAGCGCGGGAAACATGTCGAAATATGATTGCTTCTCAATAATTGTTGTAATTTTCCATGGTGGATAAATATAAACACAAAATCTTAAGGATTCGCCTCTTGACATACAAGTCTTAATGATTGCAGTATTGGCAAGGAACACGGCTCAGAGTTTTGTGGTAATATTTTTCTCGAATGTAGATTTATGTTAAACATTCTAGCACAATCGCGGATTTACTCGAAATATTGACCGGCCATGAATTATTCATATGTCAACAGGCGGTTTGTCAAAAGATGCTGCAATTTTTGGCAATAATTTATTGTAATAACTGTTGTGAATAAATAAAATACACGTGACGAATTGTCAATTCATGCAATGATCTGTATCAGTAATTTCCGATAGTGAACCATGTCGGATAGTATTATACATGCTCATTATTAAAAGACCTAAATTGGTCCTAATTTAAATATTATTTCTACAATTTAACTTTTAATTAAACAGTAATTGGGAAGAACAAAGTTTATTGAGAATAAAATAAATATACAGCGAATTCTGTATTATAGAAGAAAACAAAAATATCTTTGCATCACATCCCAAAATTCCGCTCCCAAAGTTCATAATACCATGGAACAATATCAATTTGTAGCAGCCAATAAACAACAAGCAGAACTTGGAAATTTTCCTAAATTATAATGATGTCATCACTTTTGATCTCTTGGTACGTGAAGTTGCGACTCTCCTGGTATTCCTGATAGCCTTTCTGATATTTCAGTGCTAAAGAATTGACTGGTAAATTTCTTCTAAAAATGGAATTCCCATTAGCAGACAGCTTCACTACTCCAAAGTAAACGTACTCATTGTTCTGTTTGATCTCCTTTCTTCTCTCTTCAATGATAAGAGAGTCCTTCACTGGAAGGAGAAGTAGCATATCCTGGGCGTCACCTGAACCGAGTTTAACCTTTGCTTGAATAGTCCCATTAATTTTATCTCCAGTCAGTTCCTGTTTAACATCCATTGGTAACTGACACTCCACGCAACGAACCTTATTGTTGTAATCAGTGTTCAATGGAACGGGAAATAATCGCTCGTTCAAATAAAACCTGTAGACGCATTTGTGTTCTTTCAAACTCGTGGCACTTACTTTAGACTTTATCCTGGATTGCGCTGAATGGCACTCGAAATAGTTTTTCTGCCGAAACTCTTTTAGTTTTTTAATAGTTTCTTCGTTATTTGTATCTATATATGTTACATCTTCATCAGAGTCTGAAAACACTCTTAATATTGAGTCTTCAGATATTGTGGCGTGCATCTCGGACACTTCTCTTATAGTTTCTAGTGAAGCATTCTTCTTCGTATTATTACTAGTGTCGTGTACGGATTCCTCGTACCTGTGGAAGTTCTCGTTCTTGTAATATTGTTGAACTGGTTTCGATGGTTTTCTGGTGGTTTTCCTGACACTGTTGTCGTTCCTCACACATTTGACGTTAGCAGCACTGAGAATGGACATGATCTTCTCTTTAGACCCGTTGTTACTCTTCCCATCTCCACACTTCTTGCAGTAGTCCACAACATTGTGTTGGAACTTCTTGGTGACTGTTGGGTCAGATTTGGTTGTCTTCTTTGGCTTCGCAGCGCATTTACTACTGACGCAGCTCGAACAGCTTTTGCTTTCCGCGCAAATAATTGGTTTCTTTGACGTGATAATTTTCTTTGGTACATGCCTGTGGGTTCTCTCACTTTTATGGTTTGATCCTTTACAAGTCCTCGTTGGTGTGTCAATTGTGTGTTTTAGTGCGAAACTGGTTACTTTTGTGGACATTTTGTCGAAAATATACACATATCTGAATTAAATCTACCGTTGACAATGTTTCACTGAATTGTTGTCATAAAATTGTATGGATCTCGTTGCTATGGTTACGCGTCCACAACAACACTGTATTTTTTTGTATAACCAAAGAGTGTTTATGCAAGCACACAAAAAATAATTCGAAACTAATTATGATTACTTGTTAAATATTATTAATTTGCTAATAGATATTTAAATTGAGGTGATCATAATACATATTATTATTTAATTCTGTAACTCATGACTCGATGTGCTTCTGCCATCTAGCGGTGAATAGTGAAACTAAGCCAACGATCAGTTTGTTAAGTATTAAGATAGATGGCACAACTAGAACATTATTGAAGCGGTTTTCGTGTTTTACGTAGATTTTTTTATGGGAAGTAAACGAGCAAACGGACCATCTAATGATAAATAATCGCCCATAGACACCTGGAACGCATTGGATAGGCATTGCAAGTGCGTCACCGGCCTTTTGGGGATTAGGAATTTGAGGATTATTGGGGATTCAGGGATTGGAGATATTGAGGAGGGGGGGGAGGGTAATTGAGCCTCTGGTAACCTCACTCACATGACGAAACAACGCAAGCGATGCTTCACGTCAGTTTTCTGTGAGGCCGTGGTACAAGTCCAGTCGAGCCGGCTCATTCGTGCCGAAGCATGGCTCTCCCACATTTGAATACATGAATAATATAATTACAATGTATCTATGTAATAAGTAAACAATATTTTTGAGAAACTATATAACGAATCTAATATCTTGTGGAGTTTTATAAATAACATGACTTTCTTTTATTGGTGTAATATTATCGACGGCACAGTTGGTGAGGCGGCTGTGCAACCGTGTCGTGCAACGTTCGATTCCCGCACGAAGCAATTCTTTGTATGATCTACAAAATGTTATTCCTGGTCTAGATGTTTGTAAAATGCTCCCACAACAGAAAATCCCAAAGTTTTTAAAAAACAAAATATTATTAATAAGGTTTAGTATTAAATCTAGCCTCACTTACTGTCGTTACTATTATGTTTCTAATTGATAAACACAATTAAACTGTCAAACACCAAGCGGTCACCGGTGACCGCAACCTATTGTTCTATAATTGTGTCTACAAAACCGGTACTCGACGAGTTAATATTCTTGATGTACCTAATACCTGAGACCATTGCAAAGTTTACCAAATGAAAAAAGTTAGCAGATACCTAGTAAAATTGTAAACTTACAATATCAGTGGGACGAGACGAGACAACGGTCGTGAGTAAGTAGTGAGTAACTTTGAGTGTTTCGGACGAAACTCACAAATGTCTGTTGTCTGAACTACTCTGAGTTATTCCGATAATATCGCTTATTTTGTAGGGTGACTATGTATTTTCAAAATGTTAACAATGTACTAGGGGTTTTTTTTAATGGGGGAAAATCATCGAATGACTGCTCCCGCCTGGGTGAGGAGGGAGGGAGTGTCAGACTCTTACTGACTAAAAACCACCCCGTTCCTTCTCCTGCACGTCGAGCCGGAGCCCCGGTTACCCATTAGGTTCTCCGCGACTCAGGTTCTCCGCGACTCAAAGGTCTTAAAATTACAGAATATTAAAATAGGCTTTCAAAATAATAATGTAATGCACGTTTTCGGATAAGTTACGGAATATGCAAGGAGGAGGTGACGAGGTGATCCTATTGTAATACCATACACAATTCCATATAACCGTGAGGTAAGGGGTAGCTAGAAATCATGGAACGCCAATTACTACGATTCTTACATACCTTTCGCTATTGTCATGAAAAATCTTTACTATTATTGAGTAAGTTTTGCAAATCTTAAAAACTTCATAACGCTTTGGCCGGCTCGGTAATCAACCACTTGATCAACAAGGCAGTCATATTAAGGGCTTTTCACACACTCCGGTTTATACCTCTTCCGTATAATGAGTGCCGGGTATCCGACGGTAATCACAAGTACATTGTCAATTACTTGACGGCTTCGTTTTATGTAACATTCTTTGCTATAAACCTCACGGAGCCCGAGACCTTTCCAACGAATGCAAATCTGTGGAAATCGGTTCGTGCGTTCTGGAGTTATAGCGTCGGTAAGGATAACCCGACTTATTTTTATATAGTAGATGTGACTCACACCGTACCGGCCACGTTTAAACGTACATTACCGGATACCCGGTACCGGTCACCCAGCTACCAGAACGTGTGAAAATGCACTAAGATATAATATTTTTGTCTGACAAAAGAATTCAACTTTGGACGTTTCAAAAGTGTCTAATTAAATAGATCGGACTAACTTACCTGTGACGTCCGATCCTCAATTGTGTAGGTAGTGTCATCCCCGCTGAATTATACTTCGTAGTCGCACTACTCTGTACATTTACCATCACAATGTTCAAAAATGAACAAATCCATAGAGAAAAAAAAAAACATTTATACTCTGTGGTCATCTTTGCCGCGCTGTCAACTTCATTTATTTCAAAGCATACCTGCAACACAACTCTACCAGGGGTAAAGATAAACAACCCCATGTTTATCATCCGGGAAGGGTTGGGACTCAGCGGGGATGACACTACCTACACAATTGAGGATCGGACGTCACAGGTAAGTTAGTCCGATCTATTTAATTGTATAGGTAGTGTCATCCCCGCTGAATTATACTTCGTAGACTTTCAAAGAAAGAGTTGTGTTGATAATCAACATTGTTTAATGATCAGAACATAATTTCACACACTCTGTGTCAATAACGTCAATAAAATATAATAAGCCTTATGAGGTACTAATAACTAGAAATTAAAGCAATCATCATCTAGATATA